ATGATTTGCGGCAAATTAAGAAATATATGAGTTGCTGCAAATTTAGAAAGATTTGATTTGATTGATTACAGATTTGAATAAATTTAGGAAAGATTAGATTTGAATAAAATTAGGAAAGTCATATCCTAGGATTAAGGGAAAGATTTAATCAATCCCTAATTGAGAGAGATCCTAGGAGTTTGGCTCTCCAATCTTTTCTTATCTAAGTTGTATGCTCAACATGTTTTATCAACACATTATCAATACAGAAGTATTTCTTCTTCTCTCCCTCTTCATTTCTTCTTCTCTTCCTCTTTATTTTTCCACAATGTATAATAGGCTGACAATAGTGTGTCCAAATACACAAAAGAATTTTTCAAGTTCTTTGTAAACTCATTGAAAGTGATAAGGCCCTTCTAGATAGGCATGTAAATGTGCTATGATCCAAAATTTGGAGTGATCTTGCTCATTTCGCTTACTTGGCTTTGTCATTCTCTAGAAAGCAGGCCCCAAAAGAATTTTATCAAAAAAAAAAAAAAGAAAACAAGATTCAAATAAAGAAAGGTACTAGACTGCATTTGCACATAATCTTAGAGGAATAGGTTCTTCATTTATAGTGGCATTGCAAATTTACCAAGAAAGGTTATTCTGTAAGAACTTGCAAATGCTGACATCCACATTACCAGATGGGACTCCAGTGACTGTGGAACCATGTTATGGAACCTGCTACCGTTTATGTTGTGTGGGTTCTTTGCAAAAGTAGTATATTTGATAGAAAGAGCCCTCTCATACAGTTTGGTAATTATGAAGATTGAGCGGCAATAAGTTTAGTGGTTATAAATATGCTGAAGGTTTTGGAAGGGTTAAAGCAAACAGGAATAGATCTTTTCTCGTTCTTCTTTTGTTGTCTAGAGCAGTATACTTGCAAGGCTACTGTAATTACACAGGATTCCCCCCCCCCTGATTTTGCAATTATTAATACAAGTGCCTTCACTACTTGTGAAGAAAAAAAGAAAGAAAAGAACAGTTTACTCAGAGAACAAGGCATTTACTATGATGGCAGAAGGGTATGATACAGGAAGGACTTTGACCGCACCCATCCTCCCAGTGAATTTTGATGAACACCAGTTGCTTAGTTACCACTTCTATGATACCAGTTTATCAAATTTTTAGGTACCATGCCTTTTCGATATCATAGTCTAGTCGGACGCAGAGAATAAAGGGAGATATTTGCTAAAATATGAAAAATTAAAAAAAAAAAAAAAAAGTAACTGAAGAGCAACAAGAGTTTAGAGTAGAAAATATTGCCATAAAACTAGATGAAAGTAATACTCATTCAAATCGTTAAGTAAACATGAAAACCTGACTTTCCAGAATAAACTGAAAAGGAAATACTAAACATTATCAGAAACATGAACACCTTCATAAGTATTAAACAATTAAATACCACTGATTGACTGAATGCTGAGATGGGGCAAAATAATAGAGCTTACCTTCCGCCACCAATTCCTGGCACTCCGATCACCTTCAACAAACTTCAATGCCAACCCTTCAAGGCCTTCAGTGTTCCACGTTCTCTCAGTTTCTCTGTTTGTATGCTCATTTGATCGCATAAAAGATGCAGCTTTCCCTTGCCACTGCTCAACAAAAGGGCTTGGCTCTCCTTCCGGAACAGTCTCAGCATCAACAACCGCAGACCCATTGTCACTCGTATCCTCCTTNCCATAAAACTAGATGAAAGTAATACTCATTCAAATCGTTAAGTAAACATGAAAACCTGACTTTCCAGAATAAACTGAAAAGGAAATACTAAACATTATCAGAAACATGAACACCTTCATAAGTATTAAACAATTAAATACCACTGATTGACTGAATGCTGAGATGGGGCAAAATAATAGAGCTTACCTTCCGCCACCAATTCCTGGCACTCCGATCACCTTCAACAAACTTCAATGCCAACCCTTCAAGGCCTTCAGTGTTCCACGTTCTCTCAGTTTCTCTGTTTGTATGCTCATTTGATCGCATAAAAGATGCAGCTTTCCCTTGCCACTGCTCAACAAAAGGGCTTGGCTCTCCTTCCGGAACAGTCTCAGCATCAACAACCGCAGACCCATTGTCACTCGTATCCTCCTTCTCTGTCGCACCCAATGGCAATAAATTCACAGCCTCTCCGGTCTTATTCCAGTGACAGATCATCTCGAACCTCCCTCCCTCTGGCAGCTTCAAGCTACGATTATCGCCATTTTCCCAAATGATACTCTTATCCTTCCTCAGAATCACGAATTTGTATTCTACCTCTTCACCCCCTTTCATCTCCAAGTCGCACACCCATCCATTCTCCGTCCAATCCAAATTCACTTTCTTCTTCCAGGATCCCAACTCCTTCGACGAACCCAGCATCGCAACATGCTCTCCGAATTCAACTTGGTGATTCAAACGAACACTCAGCAGCACTTTCCCACGTCTCTTCCTCGACTCCATCTTCTTCTCTTCTTTCCTGCAACTCAATTGGTCGGTTTCTCTTACTTTGAGAGAAAGGAAACAGAGGAACACAAAAAACTGGGAAAATCGTAAGGAATGAAGCAGAAGTACCTTTCCTCCACAGACGAAACACCGCAAGTAATCCGAGATGAGCAACTCAGGGGACTGGTAGATTTCTCCACAAACCCTAAATAATGAAAAGAAAATGAGATTCTACGCTTGCGACGGAAGCTGCTGGGGAGCTTGTTTCGCCATTGACGGAGTAATTGCCTCTGGAAAGTATCGTCGTTGCAGGTGGAGCAGTGGAAGAGACGAAGAGAAGCCATGACCTCTTATTGCAGGTTCAGTTCAATAATCAAACCCCTACAAAGATATCAAATAAGAGCATTGCTTGCAGAAGACGGGATTTTGATTCGAATTCCAAAATCTGGAGTTTTCAGCATTACGGTGTCGGTGACGCTGAGCTCAAAATATCGGTGGCAGAGGTGATTTCATGTGACGATGAGCCTTTCTCCAACTTTTGCCACGTGCAAAAGAGCCCTTCATTTAACATAAATTTCATGATTCCGTCCCAGTTGATTAGTTGAGTTGCTAACTTGACAGGCCTACACGGCACGTCTAGGGAAACGCCAATAGGTGCTCCCATTTTAAAATTTCGGCTGCTAGGATATGTGATTAATGATTTAATGCACTCCGGTTCGGTTTTGCAATTATTTGAAAAATTTGTAAATCATCAATTTTCTTCAATTATGGACGATCTAGACATTTAAAGCTTCCGACCTAACTGATGGAGGGTAATTTGACCCGACCCCTTGAGATGATGACACGTGGACTTGACTCAGCACGAGCAACAGCCCTGCACCACAGCCTGACTGCGACTAAGTAACGAACCCGCAGGACAGATTGCTAAGTCATAGTTCGCTATAGGGGAGCTCGCTACAACGCGAGCTCAAGGTCCCCCGAGCTACTCAAAGGGAATACTACAAGGCTATCCCAGCTCGTGAGGTAAGGTAACCAACTCGCTCCAACACTTAGGCAGAAAGACTACCCCGAAGACGATCTTGAGAAGGGTCACCTCGAAGTACCCCTAGGAGCTGGCTGCGAAGTAGCTCGCGACAGGATAGCTCGCTACGCRACAAGGTAGCTCATGACTAAGCAACGCGACGCTCTCAGGAAGCTTCTATTTGACAAGACCATACCCGTCAGACTGCACCACGTCTCCAGACTAACGGCGCAGTCCCTGCCCATTCAACAGATTGCACCCACGTCTCTCGACAGATGGTAGCGTGCATGTCTTCCCGGGACGTGTCACTCACCCGATTGGGCAGTACCCTACAACGATTACCTGTGTAGCCCTAGCAGATAACGGTTGCGACAGAAGCCCAGTGGCGGTTACACCCGATTTAACAAGAACGCCTATATAAGAGCCCCTTAGTCGAAGGGGAGGGGATCTGATCTGATTTTGGATCTTAAATCATCTTACTTGCTCTCGAGCTAATGTTGAACACTCAGTGATCTAGCGCGACCTACACTCTTAGCCTCTTTACTCTCTTTACTATTTTCCTCAGCGTTCTAACTTAAGCACCGGAGTATTCYCACCGGGCAAATCCCCCGGGAATTCTTCACCGTCTTCTTCTCAGGTGTCGTCCGTTGCCAGGTAGGAGCCAGTCAGCAGCCAGCTAGGAGTGCCCGGATTGTGCAGCATCATTTGGCACCGTCTGTGGGAAACGCTTCAAAAAGCCTTCCTCTAAGCTTCTACAGTTTCTTTTTGAAAAACTCAGCATTCATGGCTTCCTCCAGCAACGTTGGATGTGGTACCAGCCAGAACGCTTCTGGGGAGCAACCCCAACTTCCTACTGTCTGTAATGGACAGTTCACCGTCCCCCTCTCCGTGGACGGGATTCCTAGTCTGAACGTGCCTCTCACAGTGGCACCCATGGTCGCTCCACTCCCTTCCACGGTGGGAGCAACTTTTGCTAAACCTTCGGTTGTGCACCCAGTGGCCAACCCGAACCAATTGGAAGACTTAATGCAATGCATACGAGCCATGCAAGCTCAAATGCAACAGTTCCAACAGTTCTAGCTCTACCAACAACAAATGTTGCATCAGGTTTCCCTGTACTAGTACCAGTAGCAGTTTCCCTCTTCACCTCAAGCCCAGCCGCCGCTTCCCCCTAGGCACCCGGCCATGAAGCAGACCAAGCCCTCCCATCGGAGCGAATGACCTCGTCGGGGAGAGGCCTCCCAGGCCCAGGATCCTGCCAAGAGCCAAGCCTCTTCCCATGGTAGGAAGGAGAGGCCAGCCACCCCTGCCTCGCAGCCTGTGGGCAGGTCGGGGGCCTCCCAACCAATCAAGCCCACCTCGCCCCAGCGTTCGCAATTCGAGCTCCCGCTCGCAGAGAACCCATTTGAGGTCCTAGCCGCAGACTACAGGCAGGGCCCTTCAGTTCAGAGCCACTACCAACAGTCCGAGCCCATCAAGCTCGGTGACACTGAAGCATCGAGCACCAATGCCGAGCCAGCAAAGCAGCAACGAAGACACTGGCAAGCACACCGGATTGCTACCCGGGTCTCTCCCGAGCTCAGAGGAAAAGAGGAGGTAAGCTCAGGTGAAGTGAAAACTACCCCTCTCCTCTCAGTTTCTTCCCCACTGTCTCCAGAACTCCTTGTTGTCTCCATGCCAAGGGACTTCAAGCTTCCTCCACTAGACAAGTATGATGGATCATTCGATCCGAATGATCATGTGGACGCCTTTCAGTCCCAGATGCACCTGGCGAGAGCCAGCGAGTCCTGCATGTGCGTGGCCTTTTCCACCACCTTCAAAGGGGTAGCCCAAACCTAGTACCGAAACCTCGCGCCCAGTTCGATAAGAAGCTGGGCACAGTTCATGCAAGTTTTCACCTTCCACTTCGTCACCAACAAAAGGTGTCCGAGAACTCAGGAAAGCCTCCTCGGCATAGTTCAAAAGGAAGGGGAGTCCATTCGGAGTTACATCAAGCGGTTCAACGATGCTTGTTTGCAGATACCCGACCTAGATCTCGCAGTTCGCCTCACCGCAGCCAAGCGAGGTATCACCCACAAAGATCAGTTGTCAATCAGCCCAAAACTGTGACCAAGTTCCTCAAGCTCGCAGATCGGTTCATAGGGACGGAGGAAGAGATCAACCAGAAGGGCGAGAAGGCCCTTTCGAAGAGAAAGAGGGAACCAGAGCCCCCATCTCAGGGCGACAGTAGGAAGAAGAAGGACCCAGCTCGGGGGGGCAAGGCCGGTTCAGCCTTTCCGAGATCCAACAGCAGAAAGGGACTACACGCCCCTCATGGCGATCAAGGATGCTCCGTACGTAAAGTGGCCACCTCGGCTGAAGGCCGACCCTAATGCCAGAAATAAAAATTTGTATTGTTGTTTTCATAAAGATCACGGTCACAGTACCGAGAACTGTAAAAACCTCCGCGACGAGATAGAGGAACTCATCCATCGCGGATATCTGAGAAATTTTGTACAAAATAATAGTAATAATAATAAAGCAAGTCCGCAAGGGGAGCAAAGTTGAGATGCTCCCGAGTCCAGCAGGCAAGCGGAACAGCCACAGAAGCAGCCCCCCGAAGAGAGACCAATTCGAGGGACCATCCACGTCATAGTTGGAGGTTCGATTGTGGCGGGCTGCACCTCAGCTGCAGCTCGTGCATCAGCTCGCGAGGCCATCAGGGAAGAGCAGAACCCCTCAAAGCGGCCAAGGATGGAAAACCCCATCTTCTTCACAGAAGACGATGCACGCGGGGTCCACTACCCCCATGATGACGCGCTCGTCATAAAGGTGAAGATCAACGACTTCGAAGTCAGGCGCATCCTCGTCGACTCAGGCAGCTCAGTGGACATCCTCTTCAAAGCAGCCTTCGACCAACTTCAACTCCAAGAGAGCGACCTGAAGCCCGCGAACACTCCCCTGGTAGGCTTCAACGGAGAGGAAGTCAGACCCCTGGGAAGGATTACAGTACTCGTGGAGGTCGACACTTGGCCTAGCATAGTGAGGCTCAACCACGATTTCTTAGTGGTCACAACCCCCTCCCCGTATAACGCCATAGTAGGTCGGCCGATTACCCATGCCTTACGGGCTGTGGTGTCCACCTACTACTTGGCCATGAAGTTCCCTACGGACTTCGGAATCGGGATAGTGCGAGGTGACCAGCTTGAGTCTCGCAAGTGCTACGTCGCCGCCCTCAAAGGGAAAGCCAAGGTGGTGGATGACCTCGARCTGGAGCGACCTACGGAGCAGAGCGAGGAGCGAGTTGCGCCCACCGAAGAGACCGTCTCCATCCTAGCCTCGACGGAGGACCCAGCCTGAACACTTCAAATCGGTGCTTCCCTTGAAGAGCCTCTGCGATCTAAGCTGGTACGCTTTTTATTTGAAAATTTAGATGTTTTTGCATGGTCAACAGCAAAAATGCCTGGCATAGACCTTAGCATTATAACTCATAAATTTAATACTGATCTTGTAGTTAGGCCCGTTAGACAGAAGAAACGCAACCTAGCCCTAGAGCGATGGAGGCCAGTCGACGAGGAGGTCGGGAAGCTCCTTGCAGCCGATTTCATCAGGGAAGCCCATTACCCGAGTTGGGTGGCCAACCCCGTTCTGGTGAAAAAGGGTAACGGTAAATGGCGCATGTGCATTGACTACACCGACCTGAACTGAGCTTGCCAAAAGGACTACTTCCCACTTCCCAGGATTGACCGTCTGGTGGACGCGACCTCGGGACATGAGTTGCTGAGCTTTCTAGACGCCTACTCGGGCTACAACCAGATCAAGATGTACCCGACAGATGAAGAAAAAACTGTCTTCATAACCGAGCTTGGCCTGTACTGCTACAAGGTCATGTCCTTTGGGCTAAAAAATGTCGGGGCAACCTTTCAAAGACTTGTAAATAAACTGTTTGAGTCATTGATTGGCCAAAAAGTAGAATGTTATGTAAACGACATGGTCGTCAAAACCCAGTTTTCGTGCAACTTAATACAAGACTTGCATTTAGATTTTGAAATCCTGCGTAGATTTAATATGAAGTTGAACCCAAATAAGTGTGTCTTTGGCGTCACCTCGGGTAAATTCCTGGGATACATTGTAAACCGGCGCGGCATTGAGGCCAACCCGGACAAAATAAAGGCCATCCTAGATATGAGACCACCTCGGAAAATGAAGGTGGTTCAGAGGTTGAACGGAAGAATAGCCGCTCTGAGCCGCTTCATGTCCAAGTCGGCAGACCGCTGCCTACCTTTCTTCAAGGCAATTAAAAGCAAAGGGTTTGAATGGACCCAAGATTGTTAGCTCGCATTTGACGAGCTCAAAAAGTACCTCGCTAGCATACCGGTCTTAACCCGGCCCGAAGAGGGCGATGTTTTAGAGTTGTACCTCTCGGCAAGTGACGAAGTGGTCACCTCGGTACTAATAAAAGAAGTAGATCAGGTCCAACGACCTATCTACTATGTTAGCAAAGTGTTGCAGGGAGCAGARACAAGATAT